AATAATAATAATAATAATCTATCATGTACTCTGGAGTTCCACCGGGTAGCGACCGCGAGCAAATGATGGCATCAACATGTGAGGCATTGGCGCATTGTTTATCGCGTCAATGTCGTCGTCACCGAAGACATCGTCAGCTTTATTCAACGTTAGCGTCAGCTCGTTATCCGCGACTACTTTATTCGCGTAGTCCTCGCCCATGTAGACGTCGTCCAAGTCGTCGTTCTCAGCGTTGTCGTCGGCGCACGAAGCGATTTCGAGCTCAGGCTTATCGTTGCTTGCTGGGGTGCGGCGAGGCAGCGTACAGCTAAAGGGGCAACATCGCTCAGAATTGGATTCTGAGCCAAAATCACGTCCCCTCTCCGGGTCCGGCTCCAGATCGGATACGACATGTTGGTGCCGTTTGGCAGTACGCTTCCCGGGTTAACGTGTGTCGACGTGGTGACAGCGCGTGCGTAGGATGAGTTCGCGATGGTGGCAATCGACGCGACGCTGGCAGCAACAATTGCTCCTCGCTTTTGCGGTGCCTTGGGCTTTGCTTTTGGCGTCACAGGAGGCTTCGTAACCTACGAAAATTGCCGGCGGCTTGAGCGGCATTGAGTGACACGTCAACTCGAGTTGTTAAAGCGGCTCCCACACTTTGGGCGGCACTTTTAACTTACGCCCACAGTACCTCATTCAGGCGAGGCTGTTCGCGCACCTTGGTATTGGGGATTGCGAGAAGGCTTGCGCTGGTATGCTTAAGAGTTCCGAAGCTGTCGATGAAGTGGTTTCTTTCTCTCCTCCAACGCTCGCGTCCTAGCATTTCGCGCTCCTGACGCTTGTTGGCCTTTCTCGTCGTGATTCGCTACAGAGATAATGGGGCACCACAAATAGCGACAGTTTCTAGTGAAAAAGAAAGCAGCGTGTCAGCCAATCGTACCCGCGCAACGTTTATTCGATTTTAAAAAACTTCAGCAATACTACTAAAGCTCTTGCACTCAACCTACCACCACTCTTGACGAATCTAAGCGACAATTTCTCGACACATCATACGGCCAAATCACAGCGTACGTTTATAGAACGTATTGCGAATTCGCAAAACCTCGATTGCATTTTCATTTATGCTTCTTGTTACAAGGATTGCAAAATCTTTTTTGGTTTCCCCATGTACGCAGAATTCAGGATTATTGGGACAGCACATAGATGGTCCTGCGCGTTTTTATACGCCTCATGACGTCGCCAACAGCGGCTCCTTATTAGCGTGAAACGTAGCAAGCGCTTAGTGAGGGCACTCGTCGTGGAGATATGCAATCAACGCGAGGGTGTTTGGCACCCAACGTCAAGATTGATCTTGGGCGACGGGCACCCAACGTTAGAATTGCCGTAGGTCTCGGCCATGCGTGCAACCGGTACAGTGTTGTGAATCGTCTTCCTGTCAAGGCTCTAGACATCGTTGCCGCCGAGCTGCAGCGCTAGCGGGGGGTCAATGTCGTCATGACCGAGAAAGTAGTCCAGGTTGTCCTTCTGGAGCAGATGCTACGGCGGTACAGGCATGGCGTCGTGGGCGCACGCAAGTTTCATGCGTCGGTACCGTCTGATCGACGACTATCTCGGTGTACAAGAGCGTCTTGCGTGTGATCTGGCGCATTATGAAGCGGTAGTCCAGTCCTTCTAGCACGATAAGATGAGGCAAGTACGCTAGGCATAGGGTATCCGCGGGTCGCACCATGGGGGCCACAGAGAGCCGCGTCGGAGCATAGATCGATGCCATTCGTCTCAAGAGCATGAAATGCACGTGTTCCGGACAAAACAATCGCACTCTAACGTTCCTCGCCGCTACTGAATCTAGGCTGACTGGAGCGATATCTTCTCCATGTCGCACTGACGGGTTTGCTGCGCACTTGGACGCCGTAAGTACTGAATGTGCGCTAGCTCTCTGCTAATAACACCACTTGACGATTGAGTCTGCTTCACCTCCGGTCGTTCCGTGAAAAAGGGCGTGCATCGAAGGAGAGTGTACATAGAGCTTTTCATTACCGAGAATAGGATTCCCGCGTATATTCATTGGTCGCTCTGGCTTACTCGGTTCTGTGCAATTAATGTTCTAAATGCTGTGTTACAAAATTGTCTGTTTACGCGTGACAGACCTCGCCTACACGACTAGCAGGATAAATGATCGCTTCTCGAGGCCGTTCAGAGGACATAGCATGGCATTTTCATTTTTGCATCGGCCGCCGCTGTGCAATACTACACTTATATTGTTGCTTGACAGCTTTTTCGAACACAAGAAATCGACCGAGTCACTAACTTCGGTTGGCTTGCTCTAACTAGAGCAGCAAGCAACTTAAGGCGATAACTGAACAAGCAATTCTGACATACTATTAGATACTGGATAAATGGAACTTGCTATCCTAGCGTGTGTTTGCTCTCAGCCTTGCGCCTTGAGCTTTCCCGAATCTTTATGGTTTAAGAAATCGTGTTAGGAGAAGTTTGCTGAACGATGCCTTAAAGTAATGATAGCTCTTCCGTATCTTTAATATCACTTGTATTCGGTAATCCCGTCCGAACCGCCCTCAACTACTGACTCCTGTGTATTAGAGTGTAGTTCGTTCGTCGCTCTCTAATGGAATTCTGCCATCAGCCGTACATGCGTTGAATACAATTAAATGGTCTCTGAGCTATGAAAATGTAGAAGTTGCTTTCAGATGCATACGCTTGTTTGGCTAAATGATGTCAGCTGTCAAGCGTTCGCTAATAAATATGTCATGTTACAATGTGTTCGCCGTGCGTCTATCGAAGGCATTCTTAGTTAGGGTTTAATTGGCCGCTAAGCGGTTCCAGTAGCGAAGCGAAACCTTCCACGTGTTACGCATGTAGCGCACTTTACTGTCTTAAGATGAGGCGTTGTGAAACGCTGTAATCTACGTGCTCTGTTAAACGAAGGTTAACAAGATCTCCGCAGAGACTACGAGGCATCGCTTCCAAGTGATGGTGACCCTCGACAACTTGTCCCTTGTGCTCAATGCGACATTGATAATCTGTCGTGCTCACACGGCGGCCTACATATTTTTATCGCGGAGGACATTTTAGATCCTATGCGCAACCATGTTCTCGAGATTGAGCTATTGTACGATTGCTTTTCTACGCACGCGAATATAGGGAGGGCTCTTCTCATGGTGCGCGCTTCGCGAGATCAATGCATTGATGCCACAATACTGACCGATGCGCAAGCTGGTAAGGTTGTTTCCATACCTTGCATCTGGATTATTAACAACGGTCGGCGCAACGCACTGCCATTGCAGCTTAAGCGTTTACAGCTCTCAATTTGTCCCGCATTAGTAATGACGATCAACAAGTCCCAATGTCCGACGGTCCTCTGCGTTTGTGTTTAGTTTCCGGAACTTGGTTTTGCTCCTATGAACTTCATCTCGCTCGGAGGTAGATAGCTCGTACAAAAATTGTATGTATTTTGAAGTTTTCATCACTCTGATTTGCTGAAAGGTTTACGACAGATGCCCAGGCGAGGCAGTGTCGTGTCGTCCTCCCTCTCTCTGGAGACCATGGTCTGCTGGACTGCACGCCTACTTGATTCATGCGAGATCTCAGGGACTCGCGTTGTACTTCCAGAACACGAAGACATCTTTACGATGGCTGATGAGGAAGGACTCTTCTTTGTATGTCTGCATTTCTGGATTGACGACCTTATAGACGCCCTGGGTCGCTTCGTTGCGATGTGCCAAAAGTGCATCCTTAAGCTTAAGTCCAATAAGTGTACGCTCTACTGACGGTGATCAAGTGCTTCGTTCGCTTGATCAGCAGTCAGGGCGTTCGTCATAATTCGCAGCGTATCACGTTGCCATTGACCCAAGCAACGGCGGGCAGCTTCAACGGTTTGTCTGCACGACCAACTGGATGTCGATTGCGTCTCGGGTTCTGCGATTACGGCAATACCGCCTCAACAGCGGCTGGAGTACGTTCCCGCGGGCAAGCCAACGCTCTAAAAGCGCGTAGATACGTCTGTTGTAGTTGAGCTCTCGAGAAGGCGGCATTGGACGCGGCCAAATTAGCTTTGACCAATGCAGCTCAGCTGGCGCATTTTGATCAGGATGCTGAGCACCTCATGTGATTCGACGCCTCGGGCGACGACTTCTCGATCACGCAGGTAGATAAGTTCAACGGTAGCGCGCCGTGTGGACGCTGCAGCACGAACTTCTTGACTGAGGCGTCGAGAAACATGAGCTTAGAGAAAACCCGTCTGACCAAGTCCAAGAAGAAGGGACAAAGATGATGCCTGATGATATGATATGATATGGATTGAAATCTTTATACAGACTAAAGACTCCACCTACTAAGACTTACGTACTAGTTGTGTGTTGAACGTCGGCGGCCAAAA